GAAGGTACGGCGAGGATAATTTGCAAAATCCATAATGAAATTGAAAAAACCTAACCCTAAAACTAGCAGAGAGACCCTAGACTCCAAAATGAGGCTTTCAGGGCTGCCATAAGGAATACTAGGCTCTCTGAGTATTTCCAACGTTTTTTGGTTTTGTTTTGTTTTGTTTTTCTGTAAGCTCGGTGAGTATTTATCACTCTACTCTTTTTTGGTCTCCGCAAATAAGCTATTATTCTTATTTTTGTTTTGATTTTTTTGTTTGTTTGTTTATTTTTTTCTTGTAAGCTTTGTAAGTAATAATCGACTTCACATTTTGTTCTGGCCCCCGCGCTAGTAAGCTTAGCTTAAGTCCCACTGACCAGTCTGTTTCGGAGGTTTAATTATGTTCATTCATTCATTCATTTAAGCTGGGATAATTCTTCAGTCTTTATTCACCATATTGCGTTCTACGCATTATAACCACTTGGATCGGGTGGTGGGCTTTAAAATACGGGATTAAAAAAGGTAATTACGCACCTGTGCGAACCCGAGCCAGGAAACGATTTCTGTGACGTAGGAATTTTAAGCCAATCACAGTGTAGCTCAAGTAGCCCCAGAACTACTGCGCGAGGTATTCGCTGCGAGGAGCACTCGAGTTTCATTCTATCATGGAATCTGATTGGCTAAGGAGAAACAAAAGTCATTACGTCACAGAAATCGTTTTCTGGCTCGGGTTCGCAGACGTTACTTTCGGCGGAGACAAGCGACAGCCGGAAATACGTCTGCGTTCGCAGGCTACATGAACAACAGCTGCAGGTTTTTAAACTACAAGCAAAAAAAAATGAACTCCCAGTGTGCTATAAACTGATTAAACGGAGGACCATTGTACGCTAATGAATTCAGTCTGCATTTGACAGGGCTAAGTAAGAAAGTTTGTAATCATTTATGGCGTTGCATGCGCAAGTGTTAAGTTTTGAATGCTGTTTTTGCATTCGCTTTCACACCCGGTCCTCTCAAACTTATCACATGTAATAACCAATGATTAAATAGTGTTTTGCCATCATCTCTATTAAAATTTTGGGCTCTAGTCTTGAATTATAAATGCCCAAACAAATGTGTTTTTTAACCGTTTTTATGGCTTTATTTGTGATTTTCTTGAATTTCTTTCGGTGAAATCTTCCAAATTTTTACAGCACATCGCTTCCAGTTGGATACGCATTTTAAACACGAAAAAAGTAGGGTTTATAAAGGAAGTTTTTTCGATTTTTTTTTAAATTTATGTCTTTTACCGCTGCCTTATACGGATTTCCCTGAAAAACGAGCTCCGACTAAAGTAAAATATTTACTACCAATCTGCCAAATTTTACGGAATTTCACAGAAGGAAACGCAGGAAAATTTACTGTCAGTTTTGCTTTTTGTGCTCATGTTGACGTCATAAAATTTCCAAAAACACTGACGTTTTCCTTCGAGCGGGCAGATTACTTAGCTGTCGTCCTCACTGCGCGTACGATCGTTTAACTATAGGGAGCCACCTTAAACATTGTGATACAAACCGCGAAAGCGTAAGCCTGGG